GTTCTGTGATTCTGTGATTCTGTTCTGTAAAGAACCTAAGGTTTTTTTTCCTGCTTCTTGAGGGAGGGTGGGTGGAGAGCTGTTCAATCAAATTTGGAAAATTCCCTTGGATGACAGCAGTAAGTCTAATCAGATGACAGCATTCATGTCAAACCTATTAATTTGGTATCTTACCATTTTATTTCTTTAAAAAAGTTTGTGTGTCTTGTAAGCATCTGCTTAAAACCAATTACAGTTTTATGGAGTGTTGTTTATTAAATAGAGGGGTCTCATGCATTTGTTTCTCAAGAGCAATGGTGCTTTATTGTGTTCATTCAGAAGTGCCATGTTCAGTGCATCTGGTGCCTATATATCCCATTTCAAGAATTATATGTTGATCAAGCTGTTTGTATATGTGTGTACGTTTGTACTATGTAGATAATTGACCTAATTATACAGATACCATTTAAATTCTTGAAAGTGGTTATTGTAATAATTGCCAAGATTAAAAATTGGATACATTAGGATTCCTTAGTCTTAAAGTTCAACCAAGTTACACAGTTTGGGTTTTTTAATCAGTTTTTATTTGTTTTAAAAATATAAATAAGTAATAAATACCATCTCAAATATTTTAAAAGTATAAGTTATACAACAATTTTCCTGGCTTCTGAAAATATTTTTTTTTGTTGAATACATATTAAATAAGTTGGTATTCTGAATAGTACCATTAGAAATGAAATAAAATAGGCCCTTTGTTTAAATTATTTCTAAACATTGAAAATATAAATAGGAAACATTAGAAGCAAATAAATATTTTAAATACAATAAATAGGTTCCTAGGAAGAAATGAGAATATATAAAAATGCAAACCATTGTTACTATTTCTGGTTCTTAAAACAGAACAACACTGTCATCTGCCACATGACAGATTTGTGACAAAGGACTGTGCCTGAATTAAAACATTCAGACACTGAAACTCCTGGTGTTTTTCAAATAGCGAACGGCCCTCACGGTTTTCTCCATAAATGAAGTAAAGTCTCGGAGGATGAGGTGGGTGGTGATTTTCTCGATCCAGGTCTTATCAGACCTCAGCCTTGCGCGGAGGGATTTCTGGGCAGCTGGGTCTGGGATGATCACTTCATTGGGATTGATCACCTGTGAAAAAGACAATATTTGGGTTAAAACATTGTAACTGAGCTTGTTGGAATGCATCAGTTTATATCTATAATGTGTTCCTGACCGGCTGCATATGGACCCTTTCTGTGCTGCGGAGGATAGACCTCCCTGGGACCTGTGCTTTCCTACAGCCCTGTTTCTGCAATGGGGTTTGAGGTACCTGGGTACCTGCTGTGATTACTGTGGAGGAAGCAGAGGGTCTCATCTGATCTATACCGTTTCTGGTTTGAATGCAATGTCTGGCATTGCGGTCCATCATGCTGCACTGAACAGATCAAAATGCCTCTTCTGCTATGTGCCAGCTGCATGGCTAATTGGGAAGATGCTGAACGTGATTTGTTCTAACCTGTACTATCCTGAGTCATAAGTTAATTAGATGACACTGAAGTACTCTCACACTTTGTAATGGATTAACAGTTTCCAAAGATGTCAAACTTGTTCAGCTGCTTAATTCTTACTTTCCAGGCATTTAGGCACGTGAGAAACTTAAGTGTCACCAACTTTCACTGATGCGTGGGATCCTAACTGCAAGATGAGTAAAGGAGCTGTACCTAATGCTGACGGACAGCCCTGGCCACCTAGTACCCAAATGCCTTTTAAGCACTTGTCCCGTGAAGCGGGTAGGTGATTTCTGAGAATGAGAGTTACTCACCTCAAATCACTGAGCTGTTTTAGGTGATTTGAGGTGTATAAGTCTAACAGTAAAGTATTATTTGTTTTGTCCTGCTTTCAGGATCTCTCCTGCCCTTTAACAAGTGACAAAAGCACGTGCATCTTGTTCTGGAACATCTTTTTTTTTTGTGAAATTCAGTAAGATATGAATATTCTTTCTGTCCAGACTACTTGGAAGTGAATTCTTATCACACGCCCAGTTACTGGTGTATCCAACTCCTCGCTGCATGCTGTAGAAGTTTGATTCTATATATCCAGTCAGGTATTGTGCTGATGGATCTAACTAACCACAAGTGACAGATTCTGTCCTTGTTCTCCTTGCCTTAAATAGCAGATAGACTTCTCTTGTAAAGACAATTTTCCAACCTGGAGATTGACGCCTCTTTTCTGAAAATCTCTGTAGTTGCTACAAATGCAGCATTTGCATTTGACCATTGTGTTTAATTCTGCCTGTGTCAATTACCTTGATCTTTCTAATTTTCAAAAAAGTCATGAACTTTCTGCAAAGCAATATATCAAGTTGGAAGCCAGTGGTCGGCTGCTGTCATATGATGGGACTATTCTTCTTAGCTAATACAGTGTGAAAAAAGCAGTTCAGCTCCCTTTCACTTAAAGAATGGTGGACATAAATAAACATGTTGAGAAAGGTATGGCAGATGCACAATAGGCTTTTCGGAAGCCGAAAAACACCTTGAAGGAAAAAATGCCCTGAGATTTCTGCAGTCCTTACTCACTTGGGTGGTTCTTAATCAGGCAAATAGTTTCCTTGATGACAAAGGAAGTATTCATGTTAAGGGTTATTAATGTGAGTAAGAACTGCAGGAATGAAGTGAATTTTTGAAGCATGATCTTTCAAAGCTCCCCAAAAGATAGAAAAGGACTGTCAGAAATTAATAGCATTTAGTTTACCAAATCAAAAGAGAATTGGATATTTGTAAAGAATGAAGATATCTTTTTTCATTGATTGCAAGTGATAGTGTGCTTTTCAATAGGCAGCACCTTTTATTTAGTCAAATTATTAACTTATGTTCTGAATTTAACTGTCTTCCTTGATTTTTTAAGCTACTGATATCTCAATATACCACTCAGCTTGGCTTAAGAGTTTGTTTTGGAGAGTTTTAAAGATTAATAATATTGTAAAAATGTGTTTATTTTTATTTATGTGGGTTTTAAAAAAAAGTTAGTTATTTCTACTTCTTAGGGGGTTACAACATCAGAAGGCTTGGACTCAACTGCAGTTCCACAACTAGGAACAAGCTCCCTGAGCAATCTTATTTCTATCAGCCCGGCAGCCTTAGTATATTTGCTCTTACAACAGTATGATGCATTTAACTGTTGGTTTGAAAATTGGAAATAACAATGGAAAGTCAGAAGAAGAGTTGTTTCTTTAGGAAGAGGAAACAAAAGCTTGTAAAACCCCTACATTAGTCATAAGGGTAAGTATTTGAGCATAAGGAACCATCACCTGTTTCCGCTGAGAGAAAGGAAAGCGGGAAATGTTCAACTTCACATAGCATCCTATTTCTCTGACTACACATCAGTGCTAAGACGTAACAATTATTGGAGGGAATTTAAAACCAACTCACCATCTGTCTTAAGGTATGTGCCAGGTGCTCTGTGCTGTAACACAATGATTCAACATTTTGCCTTTCACTGGTAAAAGTGTCTTTGACGTATTCAAGGTATGTCCGAAATGTGTAAAGCCCGCTGGAGATTTTCCTCAAGCATTTATCCTGAAATGAGAAAAAGGTGAGAAAGTTACTTACAGCTCAGAAATGCCTCGACTGCAATATTTCACATACAGCACAGGTAAGGTCTGTGCCACAGCAAAGCCAGATGTAGCTGGTACAAATCTTTAGGTCAAGTTTTGCCGTTTTTCTTGAACAGGCAAAAAAGTACTGCAGGGACTTATAAACCCCAGGCATATAGGATTAGACTAGAAAGGAGAGCGGGTCCTTGCCTCATCGAAGCCATCGAACAGACACCCATCTTCTTTGGTCAACTTGGGGAGGTTGAGGTTGTTCAGGGCAAGCATTTCCACGCTGTTCTTGCAGACGGTAAACTTCTCGCACATCTGGAGAAGAGACACCAAGAGGTTTGGTCACACCTCAGACGAAAACACCCAAAAACAGTCACCCCCGGGCCGCTGGAGTGTGATACCCCCGTACCCACCTCCTCTTGCAGCTGGGTCGCCCGGGCATGCAGCAGCC